GATTGTCTTTTTCATTTAAAAAACTGTTTCCCTGTTTCAGAGAACTGGAAGTGGCAGTGAGATGGGATACACCCCTGTAGCAGCAGCCTCTCTACATGCCTGGAAAACCGGAGGGGCTCTCTTTCCTCTGCTGAGTCTATTGTTCAGCATTTTCTTTCCACACTGAGCTGTGTTGTCAAGGGCACCTGGAGTTCAAGCTTCCTGGGGCAGGCTGCAGTTGGGCTGAGTTTCACATGTTGTTTTGCAGTTGTGAGGCACTGGGCTGGTGGTTTAAGGATGGCCGTAACCGTGTAGACAGCGGCCTTGTTTAATCTTCAGTAAGTGGTGCCCAGCACACGCTGATTCAGGACAAATTAGCCTCTTCAAAATTAAAATTTTTTTTTCTTTTGCCCATAGAGATCAAAATTTTTTTTTGCATTTTATTTGCTTTTTATTTTTTAATTACAGTTGGCATAGAATATTAGTTTCAGGTGTACAACATAGTGATTAGACATTTATATAGCTTACAAAGGAATGAAAATTTCTGAAATTAAAAATAATAGACTGGGTAGTCTGAGACTTCCAAACTTACCAGTAAGCAGTCTTCCTTTTTAAATAAATGACTACTGTTTGTATATGAAATATACACTTAAGCAAAACATGGCTCACAACTTTAAAAACAATCTAAAATCACATCCATTTTTTTAGATGGCTAACTGTCTGTTCCTAGATGATTCTACATAGAGAAGTATGTCTGAGCAGACATTTACTCTGTCATTTGCTCATTCTCATAGTAGTCCTTTCAGGCTTCTTCTGCAGTGGAAACTAGTAATTTACCGACCTAATGACTGATTCTGCGTGGATTCGGGCCGGAATATGTAGCCCAGCGTGCCGGCCTGCACAGGTGACTATAGGTCACTGGTAGATGGGTGTGCTCAAAGTGTCTTGTCTGTTTACGTGCTTTTTCTACCTTGTACTTAGGTCTGTAGTTCTCTTCTTGATTAGAAAAGAAAGGGCAGCATCAAAGGGAGCTAAGTGGATGTGTGGAACGTTTAACTATAATCCACCAGCGAAAAGAACTGCAGCCCTGAAGAGGCTACACTGAGCGTTAAGAACGCAAGTGGTGGTGGTGGGTGGGCGGCAAACTCATAATGGTGGTCTGATCAAGTATGTTCCTGGGGGCTGCAGCTCCCTGTGGTCTGGGAACTAGATTCATGGATGCTGAGAGTATGCTATTTTTTTAAGCAGTTACACAGTCAACATAACTTGCATGGTTGTTTTTTAAAACATTTTTAAATAAGAATTACCATTAGGTTAGATTTCTTTTAATGTATTACATATTTGATTTTTAAAATCTTGACCATGGACTTCCCATTTCTTCTTGTGCAGTTTCAGCTTTCTCATTCTGGCAGGTTGCTCGGCCTGCCCCAATAACGTTGAATTCTGACCCGGTCATCTGTCACGTCAGCCATCCCTCTGGTCTGTGTGCTCTTCCTTGATACTTTCTGCTCATTAGTCATTCAAGTTCTTTGAGTCTTTTACTGGTGCTTCTCTGTTCAGCTTCCCCTTGTCATTCTCTGAGTCCTCATAGTAACCAAGGGTGCACGAGCCTTTGTAGGCAACCACAGGCCAGAGGGTTGGAGTCTGTGCCAAGATACAGGGGAAGCTAATCATTCCCATGACCTTGACCTCATTAACATTGTACTGGAACAAGGGAGCCAGCATTCCATGGTATTGTTTGATTTTGGATTGTCGCTACTGATTTATGGTCCTGGGTGCACTTTCTTGCCTTCTAAGGGGGCGCAGATGTAAGAGCCAGATGAGAATGTAAGAGATGGTCAGTACTTACAGCCTCCTTTTAACTGCCTAAGAGTTGGGCTTTGGATGGTCAGCTGGTCACTGGGCTGTGCTATTGGTGATTTTGCCCCAAGACAAACCAAAGCTGACAAGACGTGAGTACAGAGTGGGAGGGAGGAAGGTCTCTCTGAGCCTGGAGCATAAGTGGGTGCGCTGCTGACCTGGGTGTCCTGCAGGTGGGGGTAAAGTCCCACACTGGCACTCTGCATGCTTTAAAGCAGGGCTCCTCAAACTGGAATGTGCAAAAGGATGACCTGGAATCTTTTTGAAGTGCAGGCTGACTCAGCAAGCCTGGGTGAAGCCTGGGGTTCTGGATTTCTGAGGAGCTCCCCTGACGTCCATGCTGCTGGTCCCGTGGACTGCATGAGTGGCAAGCCTTCCTGTAAAGCTGGGGTGTGAATTAGACTGTGGAAAGGTCATCTGGAGGCTGAAAGCTGACAGGCCGAAAACAGGATGGTGCTTGTGGGGTCCGACATGGAATTGATTGCCTGCTACTTGGGGCCGGTCTCTTTTGGGATGAGGCGGAAGGCTTTCAGTCCTGCCCCTTCCCCTCGGGCCTGTACCAGCCATCGGGAGGGAGTAGCTGTGCAGGGAGGGAGGTGATGGCGGGCTGACCAGGCAGGATACAGTTAAAGGGAGAGGTTTTGTTTTACTAAGTTGTAGTTACATTAATTTCCTCATTACATGTTGATTATATTCCATAATTGTAAATAGATAAAGAAGGCTCTAACTTCCTCCAATTAAGCCTGTTTTTTCTCATACACCCTAGCACTTTGAAGTTATGTGATTACAAAGTTTTAAAAAGTTACCTATTGTTTCATTTGGAGCATTATTTCTCAAACTTGCCTGAGGCTCTGCTGGGGTGCTGGCCAGACCATACATTCTCAGACCCCACCCCTGCAGTCCTGGCTTTGTAGGCCTAGAATGGCTCTGGGAGTCAGTGTTTTTAAACAAAGTATCTAGATGGTTCTTATCAGGCAGGTTTTAGAAGCACTGGGATAGAGAAACATGGGCTTAGAAACACAGCCACCTGGGCCTGTGGCCCTGGCAGGGTGGGGGGACACCCTTCCCGGTTCTCACTTGGCCTCTTGGGTCCTTGGGGGTGAAGGCTGGCTTCCGTCCCGTTGGCTCCACTTCTGTTTTTATCTGGACACATGCTTTTATTCTCACAGAGAGCCTGTTATCTTGCTTGGATGGGACCACATCAGGGAGTCCTCTGTCAGCAGGGTGAGAGGTCAGGTTTCTGAAGTGGTTATTTTTAGGAAGGTTTCACAGACACTGATTATGGAGTGCTCTGGGGCATTCTTGAAAAAACTGGGCTATAAGCTCTGGGCCTCTGTAGAGGTCTTAGGAATGTCTCGAGGCCAACTTTTCTCCCTTTCTCCCCGACTTTAGTTCAGACACTGGGGATAGCGCATGCCCCTTCTCTAAGTAAATGCTGACCGGGAATGAATGAAGGACCCCTCACCCTCCACAGGCAGTTTGGCTCTGATCCGTGTGAACTGACAGTTTGAGGGGCCGACTTTCCACATCACTATATCAATGTTAACCTTCATGTCTGCTGACACAGGGTCCATCCCAGCCCCACCGTAGGGCAGTCGGCCTATGAAGCAGGTGAAGTGGGAAATGGTCAGTGCGATGGGACTGGAGGGTTATAGGAAGGGTTCTTACCTAAAAGGTGGAACTCACTGACTGTTGTTCCTAAAATTCTACCATGGGAGGATTTTGGGTGAAATGTTTTTCTTCAAGCCTCTTATTCAACATGTAAGCATCCATAGTACAGGTAGTATATTAGTCAGTCATACTTTAGTAGGAATAATTTCATAAAATTCTTCTCGAGATCAGCTCACTGAGGGTGTGATTTTGTTGGGGTGTATGGTGCAAGGAGGGCAGGGCTGGGTACTGGGTCACCGAGGGCTACTGGAGGCACCAGGTGTCTGGGGCAGCTCATGAAAAGCCCAGGATACCGGCCTGTGGTGGGGGGGCGGGGGGGGGCGGGGATGGCACTAGGCGGAATTGATTCTCATTCACTTACTGTGTGTGCGTGTGATAGGGACTTGAATATCCTTGATGATGTGTCTGGCATATTTCTATCTAATATGGTCATTTCACATAAACTTGCAGTTGAAATAGAAAGATTTTTATGTGAAAATTAAGGTTAAACACCAAAATTGTACTTGGGATTATGCTGCTCTTTTTAAAGTCTATTTAATTTTTTTAAGATTTTGTTTATTTTTAGGGAGAGGAGAAGGGAGGGAAAAAGAGGGAGGGAAACATCAGTGTGAGAGAGAACACTGATTGGTTGTCTCTCGGATGTGCTCCGACTGGGGACTGAACCCCCAACCCAGGCTTGTCTCCAGACCAGGAATCGAACCGGCAACCCTTCACTTTGCCGGATGACACCCAACACACCCAACCGACTGAGCCACTCTGGTCAGGGCTAGTCTATTTAATTTGGAGAGAGAAGCTCGGGAAATGGTCCTGTTTCTGTACTTGCTTCACATGCGGACTTGGCCAGCAGCAGATACCTGCTCTCCTCCACAGAGAGAGTCTTTTCCCAAGTCATTTTTGAAGAAAAAGACTTTACTCCTCTGAAACCCCATGGCCCTTAGGAAGTGTGCTTTAGTGCATGCTTGCTGTCTCATCCATAAAAAACACTTAAATTTTCCAGGAGTTCTCAGCTTCCTTTGACGTCTCTGGGATCAGCTTGTGCCTCTGCAGAGGCTCCTTGCCCCCTTGTGCTTTCCCCACTTCAGCTCCTGCCAGCTGCGTCACGGTCACGATTAATACCCACGAACTTCTGTGTCTCTGTGGATGGTCAGCTCCCTGAGCCCAGGGAACTTGTCACATCCATGCCACTATCGGCTTGGCATGGTTTCTGTCATAAAGAAGGCTTTGTTAATCATTCTGTGAGGTAGCTATTGCAGGGGAGGAAACTGAGGCACAGGTAGGTCAAAGACTGGCGTAGTCACCCTGCCACTGAGTTATAACACTAGGATTCTCACCTGGGTCTCCGACTCAACCCCTTGGCCACCTAACGCTGGGCAGGTTTCTGCTCTGAGACCGGGGAGCCTGCGGTGTGTGGTCTGCAGGTTTCTCCTGGGACTGTTACCAGACTGGCTGCTCCAGACTCACAAAAATGGCTCATTCTTGTTGTTTTGCAGGTAAACTGGGAAGCAGTCTCTTGAGTTCACAGCTGATCTGCGGCTTTGCCTCTCATTAAAGTGTTCCTTTTCATCATACAGGTAAGGGGTTGGTTCTGGGACCTCCTCACGCTCAGGCTGGCTGTGGGCGAACTCTGGCCACGACGATGCACTCTGACAACCGTCCGAAGTTCTCACTGATGTGAAGGAAAGCCCTTAGATGTCGGGCACCAGTCCTCCTCAAAATGTGTGAATGGTCCCCTGCCCCTGTGGCAAGTGAATGATCGGGCGAAGGTGTTCACGTAGCTGGCTTTCTCCTGGGCCTTGCTGGCCTTCTTACCGCCTCAGGCTCTTGCTTTTTGCTGGGCACCCTTCCGCCTCCATTTTGGTTGGCGCTTTAGAATCCCTTTTCCTCATTTCAGGCCCTGCCCAAATTTCACCTGTTATTGATCAGACTGTCTGTTTCTCTGTTCATGTAACATACTGCACTTGCCATACTGCAAGCTTTAGTTGTAGGTGCTCATCTTTTACTCTGGTCTGTGAGGGGTTTTTTTTGCTACCATCTCCCACCTACCATGGTTGCTGGTGTGGGACAGACTTTCCATAAATGATTGAATGTTACTTAGTGTAAGGGGAAAAAATGCCCTAGTAAACTGCACTATGACACACACAAAAATCTTAATGTATTCCTAAACCAAGGAAGTGATTTGTGGAGTGACTTTTTGGATTAATTACATGGATGTTTGCTCACATTACCACACATAATTGAGAATTTATCATAATATACAGGGGTGGGCAGAAGTAGGTGTACAGCTGTGAGCACTCGAAACACAGTTAATAAAGCTATTGTGATCATCATGACTTGTGGGTATTTTTCCGTACGAACAACTGCACGCCTGCTTTTGCCCACCCTGGAGTATGTCAGCAGGAGTTTAGGTTCTTACTCCTTTTGTAAAGGAGAAGTCAGGCGTCGTCGTGTCATTGTCTTCCTTTGGGTAGTGAGTGACGCTAGGTCTCGGAGCAGTAATGTGTTCAGGGAGAGCCTGCAGCCCTGGGGGAGGCAGCTGTCAGCTAGCCCCTGGGAGCCCTGGTGGGCCCGACGGTTGCACGTGGACCTGCAGGGATGGGCAGCAAAGGTGTAAGCAATAGACTTTCCCAGTTAGCAACCCAGTGGAAGGGGCTTGAGCATGGGTTTTAAAACACAGTTTAGGCTTAAGTAATTTTAATAAAACCCCTTTAAATCAGTGCATTTCTGTTTTCCCCATACTTCTTAGTGCGTTGAGTTCTTTGAGAGGTGAGCTGATTGGCTTGACCCCATTTTGCTTCATCCTGGGGGTTGGGAGTAGCAGCCCCCAGGGTGGTGTTTCATCTGAATGTTGGGCCTGGTCCTTTCAGAAACTGGTGGGTGGCTGGGTTCATGGAGGCTGGGGGCGGGGGTGTACTTAAATCTAACCAAGACCACGCTCACCTAGGAAAGCGTGGTCGACTTTCTGCCTCTGCTTCCTTATCCTGACCTTACATGGACACTGGCTTTTTATTCAGCCTTTCCCATTGCTTTGTTTGGGCGAGTGCAAAGAGAAAGAACTTATCTTTTGGTTTCTGCATGTGCTTTCCACAGCCTAGTAAGGCACCAGCTGACAGGTCCCGTGGAGAAGCAGCGACGTAGCCGCGGCTGCTCCGCCCTGGTGCCGAGCCCAGTTGTGCAGCTGCTTGGAGGCGAGTTCGTGAAAGACAGGGCAGTCCAAGAAATTTGACTCTCAGCTGACCCTGTTCGTGTTCTTCCCCAGGAATTTCCACTCTCCATGGGATCAGTTCGTCTGTCATACTTGAAAAATGAACTAAGAAAATAAATTGCAGTTTAAAAGCCCAGATGTTAAAATATAAGTGTGTTTTAGCTTTTTAGTAGGTTTTGGAATTTGAGGTATTACTCGGTGTTTTGTGTTGCACCATCTGTGCAGAGACCGAAGGCAAGGAGGTGGTTTGTCTGGTGTTCACACTGCCGAGCACAAGGCGGGTGCTTACGAAGTAAAAAGAATTAGCCACTTGTCGGGCTTCCAGGAGAGATGGGATCCTCAGCGCGCCCCTTACTTTAGAATACAGTTCTCATCAGGTTGGAAAACAGTCACCAAGTTACCAAGCTGGTAGCCACACAGTGGCTCTCACACACAGATTACAACTTCTTACAGCTCTCTAGTCAGGTCTGGGCTGCCCCACATCCTCATAGTGAGAAAAGCCAAGAAGTGACGTAGTGCCCGGACTTCCTTAGAGCTCCTGGAGTCTGCGATTTGAACGTCTACTATGGTGCTCTTCCTTCATGCAGTGAAACGCTTACTGTTTCCGGAGATGGGACTGCCAGTGCCTCCGCAGCATAATTCGTGTATCAGGGTGTGTGTGTGTGTGTGTGTGTGAGAAAGAGAGAGTATGTGTGAGATATAGCTGTTTTGGAGCGTTGGCTTAGATCCAAGAACATTGTCCAGCATGGGTCCCTCGTGTCCAGGGTAGACATTTGAGGGCAGTCAGAGCAAAGGCAACTAGTGGATACAGCAGCTGGTCTGCTGGTCTCAGTCTCCAGTGTCATGAACACACTGCGCTCTGGCGATTTGCATTATTGTTGAAATGCCTGAGAACCCAGACTGCGGCTGGTGACACACAGACACACACAGCAAATAAAGGCACATCCCCACTCGGGTGTCTGGTTCTTTCAGGTGAAAGCTTTATTTGTTCTTCTTACAAAAGAAGCAAAGTCTCCAGAACAAGCTTTCGTGTTGCATTGTGAGGCTGCACCCAGGCACTGACATCTCTGGGAAGAGTTTGCTTTTCCGTTTCCAGAGCGAAGTCAGTGCCTCATTTGGGAGCCGCTTTTCACTTTGATCAGGTGGCTTGTGGGCCGTGATTTGCTGGCTGATTTGTCTTATCCACTCTGTTTTGTTGATTTGAAAGAAAACTTTTAAGTCCTTGCTTCCAGGAAATGTTGGTTTTAAATGGAATATCTTAGACTTTTGCTTTACGAAAGGCTTGAAGGTGTTGTTTTGATCAATCTGTTGTCCTCTTTCAGTTAGAAATGACTGTTTCCTGTTTTTTAGCATCTTTTAACAATTATGGACCCGAGTTGGAAGGAAGCCTTTGGATGACTAGTTAATATACGTAACTTTTCCAAATAGGCTAAAGAGAGTGAAAAAACTTCCTCTTCCATTTCTTTTCATGATAAACAAACAATAAATACCCTCTGTTTTAAAAGATTCCTTTTCTCTCTAGAGCATTCCTTATGTGGAGCAGACTCCGAGCCTTCCAGAATTTTGTTCTCCTGGGTTCCTTCTTCAAAGCTGAAGGATGTTGGCTCCCTTTGGACCGACCCATTCATGCTTATCTTTCCCCGTCCTGTGTTTCCTGGTGGGCAGGCCTGGGTGCTCACCTCGCCTGCATTTTATCTGCCTGTCTTGGGTTGCTGCAGAGAAGTCCTTCCACCCTTTTTGGTCGCAATCTGGAAAAGAAAACAAACAGCCTCAGCCCCCCGCCCCCCACCCCACACACACCCCCCAGCGGGCTGCGGAACACAGTTCTCATTCTCCTTGCTCCTGGTTCAAAGTGCACATCATGTTTTATGGGGGTGACCAGCCCCCTAAGGTGCTGGTTTGAGTGGCCCTGGTTTTAGCCTGGTGGACAATTAATCAGTGACCTCCTCCCTCCGCCTTCGCCTTTCTGGCTGAGTTGACATCAATGCTCCAAGTGTGAAGGGGCTGCTGCTCCTTTGAGCACCAGGCAGGGGTGGGGAAACATTTGATCTCGTTCTAAGGGAGGTCTCTGAAGCATGAAGATTGAACTGATTGTGACCCCACCCTGGGGGAAGGAGAAGCGCCCTCGGGGAGCCGGCCTGGAACCAGCCCGGAGGAAGAAGGCGGCAATTACTAATCCCATTGGCCTGAGGGTCTTCAGGGTCTCCTATCATTCAAAAGAGAGAGAACTGGGGTTGAAGGTAATAAAATCGGCCTTAAATTGGAGGAGCAGGAGGTCATTTCATCTAATTTTGTGGTTGTTACCAAGGAATAAAAGGCAGAGGGGATGATTTAATTTGCTCCTTTGAGATCTTTATCACAGCGAGCTGGCCTTTGGGTTGCAGCCTCAGAGGGGCTGGCCATTTCCTTCCGGGGCACCAGGCAAGGCTGGGGAGGCACGCCGATCGTGCAGGGCCCTGGCGTCAGGAGCATGGCCTTTCTCCTGCCCTAGTGGAGAGTTTGTGGCTTAACATGGTTGCTATAGGTCCTGCCACACCCCTCTGCCACTTGCTCAGCAACCTGACATTCACACCGGAAATAAAAAAATCCTCCAGACAAGAGCACTCTTTTAGAGCTGGGGTGGTGTCTTTCATATACAGGGTCTGGCAGGAGTAATGCCTGCTTGAGTGCGGTTGCTAGGGTAATAATGTAGGTGTAATAATTTATAGTCTTAATTTGAACATTTCCCCTAAGATGTCATGTGGTGTGCTTGAGTGTGGCGTATATTGTTCTGTTACAGAATCCCATGCATATGCTTTTGTAGTAAAAGATTTTGTAATAGAGAGGGGGCATTATTTGTGCCGGACCCTGTATTTGCTGCATGATGGTCACCGAATTCCTTTGAGCCGGGCAGAGCAGCGTTCAAAGTGTTACACCGCCCGGTGGGGAGTCAGCGGCATGGTGAGAGCTTGCTTTCTCATGGCTGCGGTTCTGTAGGCAGTGACCATTCATTTCTGCTGCCTCACAAAGTCCTGCTTAGCAGGCAGGGGTTTCCATCTGAGTTTATAGAGAAGGGAGTATAGCCCAGGAGGTTGTGTGACTTGCCTTAGGTCTCCCAGTAGGGAAGGGGGATCTGGGATTCTGTGTCTGCACTGCTGACTTTCAAACTGAGCCCTCAGTGATCGTAATTAGAAGGAACAGAGCAAAGAGGAGGAAGAAGTGAATGACCAAGTGCCCTCCAACAGGAGGGGAGGAAGTGTGTTGAATAGATAACTCTGTACCAGCCAGCAGCTGGCACCCTTCCCCAAAGCAGCTTGGTTTCTTTCTGAAGGGAGCAAAGTGACCAAGGTGGGCAGGGCAAGGGAGGTGGGAGCTGGAGGAGACTGGAGG